GCAACATTGTGAGAGTCTGTTAATACTTACATAACAACTCCTTTATTATTCTCCGTTTGTTTCACGTTTTTGGTCACTTAGAATAAGCATGATTTTTCTGATAATAAAAATGTACGACAATACTTATTTTGAATGGGGACCCACAGGAACAACTTATATTTGATATATGGTGTCCTAAATACATGAATTTATATAATACATAACAATAAAAACTACATTTAAGGAATGTTTTATGTTACCAATAATATAATATTTATTTCATCAAAAAATATTTGTATTAATGTTAAAATTATAAAAGCTTCTTCATATTATTCTAAAACAGACAGATATTGATGCAGAGTGCAGGGACACAACAACAGAGTTCGACAGGTTCTTCTTTGCATATTGCTAACATGAAAGAGTTGATATTAAGCCGCGTTGGCTGGAAGGCAAGCAAATGTTGAGGGTTGAATTTGAATGTGATTTGCCAGTGCCAAGACTTCCTCGTGTGGCCCAGGTACGGCTCAGTGCATCTCTGAAGGCTGCTTATGGAAAACGGCTGGCTCCAGTGTCCAGAGACAGGCACTGTGTGTGTGTGTGTGTGTGTGTGTGTGTGTGTGTGTGTGTGTGTGTGTGTGTGTGTGTGTGTGTGTGTGTGTGTGTGTGTGTGTGTGTGTGTGTGTGTGTGTGTGTGTGTGTGTGTGTGTGTGTGTGTGTGTGTGTGTGTGTGTGTTGTGTGTGTGCAGGAGAAGGACACGGTAATGATGTTGTACTTAAACATTATTTCGCAGGAAAGGTCTTCCTTCCTATGCAAAACTCCTTTCACAGACGTATACTCCCATCTGCTGCACGATATACTGATACTTGTAGTTAAAATAAAGTTGCACCTATTCCGTGCAATACTAAAAGAACATGCACGCACATTCTTTCTAAGAATACACAGTTTATCATTTTTCTTTGTCAGTTCTATTTTTCTGACAACAACTTGCACCACTTTTTCATCTGGAGTTTATCTGGAGTCTTTTCTTATAGGCCTAAACGGTAATACGCAAAGTCTCTCCTTTAGCTTTATACAATTTCACTGACTTACATTTCTCACAGTGCAGGTCATTTATGCAATGGCAGCGTGTTTGGGCACATCACCTCAATATGAATGCAAACAGTGTTCAGCAAAGAGGGGCAGCTGAGGTGAAATGATATATAATAAGATCTTTATGTTGTCACTGTGGCTCTCCGTGTTCCAACATGAGGAGGCTGCTCTGCTGCGGTCACAGTTAGCTCTTCACTCTCAATGGCCCTTTATTCCCAGAGATAAAAAGGCAGCATAAGCTAACACAAGGATGGCTTTAGTCAGTTTGTGTCTCCGTGTAAGGTCTGCATGTATCATTGTAATAGCTCCTAAATGTAATCAGTTGGGAGAATGCGAGTTCGGCTCTTGAAAAAGTCAGGAAACCTACTTAGTTTGTCTCAATTTATAAACAATTTTAACATTGAAGAGACATTGCAAAAGTCAAGCTATGAACTCATTTGATTGTGAGAAATCCATGCCCGTATATTGTAATATATTATCTAGTTTTCTTTGTTATGTCTCTTTTTGCCTATTGACTTTAAACTTCTGCCTTCCATCCTTTCTTGTTTGGTTATTAACTTAGTTATTCATTTTTTCTGGATTCTTTTTTATTTATAGAAATATCTTTGGTATTTTATATAATGCTAAATGTTCATGTGTGGGAGAGTTCTTCTAGTAGCTAACCATCTTGAATGTATTAAATAATATGTAGAAAAGGGGCTAAATTAAAGGAATGATATTTAAACAACCCGGTGCAATGGAAGTATGGCCTACATAAAGTGGCTTGACTTCAGAATTGGGAATTTAAAATCACTTTTTAAGAAAAACACCAGAAATGTCACCAGGTTTTGTCTTAGTACTCTAGAAGTATAGTCATATTTTGGGGCAGCAGTCGCTCAGTCTGTAGGGACTTGGCCTTGTAATTGAAGGGTCGTCGGTTCGCTCCTGCATGTGCCTGTGTGTATTTGTACTGTGTCTGTATAACAACAAATGCATTTGCATGTGCATGTGCACCTATTGCATATACGTGTACTGTGTGTCTGTATATACAATTGAGTGGAAACAGAATTTCGCCCTAGGGCTATAAATAAAGGTTCATCTTCTTATTGAACAGAGCTTTAAAAATTATTCTAATTAATTAATGCAACTATGTTGTATAAATAAAGCTTTTTAGTTTGTTTAGGTCAGAAGTGCTATAGCATATTACATTTACTCCTAAATAAAAGAAATAACATCAGCTTTGAGCATTTCAATAATTACCATATGCTGTTGCAAACATTTAAGCTGTTCCTGTCTGTACCACTCAAACATCTATGTCAGCTTTTATGTTTCAATACATAACATGTAATACTGAGATGATACAGATCGTATTACTGGTAGCTACAGTGGTCGGTGATAGCTCAGGGGACTTCTTGGCTAAGGTGCTCTTAGGCAAAGAAACTAGACCCCAAAACCTAATAAATGGTTTGAATGCAAATGTCACTGTGTTACAACCAAAGTTGATTTGTTACAACTTGTAGGGAGAACAGGGCATCTACCAATCCTAGTCTGCCCCCTCAACATCTGTCCTTTGGTCAGCAGGTCGTACAGTATAGAGAAGTACATAAGGCGTATATGCACTGCATAGTGAAACTGTTTCCATCATTTATGAAGAAAAGCTTTTCTTGTTCCTCAAATCTCTGTGATTAAGAGAACGTATACTGGTGGACAGAAGGCTTAAAGCTGCATTCACATGATAACATGTAAAGTGGCTCTAACTGCGCTAACATCGTATTCTCGTGGAGGGAGATTCTTGCCAAGCAAGTGAGCAAAGATAAAAATTACATATCAAGTGAATTCAGCTTAGGGCTACATCTTGCCAACATTAGGCTAACCGCTAGGCCTAACTGTTGATAACAAAGTTGATAACTTTGGATCCAGGTTAGTTGTAATATTTAGCTTGCTACTTCTTGTGTTGTTGCCCTTGTTGGATGTTTGGCTATGTTAGCAAAGATTTCGACTTGCTAGTTTGTCATCGTTCATAATGTTATATAATCAAAACAAATGTAATGTTATTAACAATAGTGGTGTAATATTGATTTGCACTCTGAAACAATGCAAAAAATAGAATTGAGTCAATTGAACTACAGCTAATGTGTTCAGGAAAATGAAGAAACATTGTTTCTTGATGATGAGTTTGAAAACCCTGTAAACCAATTTCCTTCTTCAGCTTCTTACTGTGTCATGGCTCATACATTAAACATTGGTGATGGTCATTTAGATATATGCTAAAAGGCCTCAACTCCAAATACAATATAAAGGGTGACTTGATACAACCCAGTCTCACTGCATTTTGTGTTATAGTCCCGACATCTAATCTATTGATTCGTGTTCACCAACACGATTTCCCCCTTTTTTTCGTGTCACACAGAACGATTTTAAAAGCAATGTATTTCCATTGGTAGTATGTTTCGTGCCTGCAGCACGTCTTTTTGACCGGTCGGGTCTTGGAAGACCGGAAGCTGTGGGGTTGATAAAAACATTTTCTTACTCTATATCAACCCACAATTATTGTTTTTATTTAAAATCGTATAATGTCGGACTTTTTTTGCCGTCCGCGTGGAAAATAAATGGGGCTCAGAGCCTCTAATTTGTTATTCTTTTCTAAATAACACACTGTTATTTACTCAACAATAACACACAATTATCCTTGATTTTATTTATTTGTTTGATTCTATAATCTCAGGCTTTTTGGCCGTCCGTCAGGAACTGAATTTCTAAATAAAGTCACCAGAAACAGACGTAGGCCTATAAGGGACATTTCGAGCATCATTGCGATACACACCCACTGAACTGATTACCCAAGATCCTCAGCCATGGTTTAAGCTCGGTGACTGGATGTTTTAGCCGCAATGCACATTGGGATATGGTGTTAATGCGATATGAAATCCGAAAAACATTTTGGAGTTTAGGATGGCAGAAGACACTACACCAGTGGTTCCCAAACTTGTTGTGCCCAAGGCACACCAAAGGACAAGTAAAAATCTCAAGGCACACCTATTGTGCAAAATAGCCCTTATAACACGTGTTATCACTCATATCATGTAAAATATCTGTAAATGTGCATAATTATTTACTAATGCCAAATAAAATGTGACAAAGACAACTATATTACTCATGAAATATTTATTAACGAAATATTTCAGAAATTAATTTGAAACTTTATCAAATTAGGCTTCATCAAAGCAGCAACACACTCATTTAAACCAGACAGGTCACAACATAAAAAATGAGGCAAAGGAAACTCAGCAGAAATTCAGCACAGAGAACTGTCAATGCAAGGAAGCTGCATTGTCCATGGTCCTGAACTACAAATTATAAATGTAACATTTCAGCAATCAGCATTGAAACATGTGCTATTGTAAATATTTTGCCGACTTACGAATTAGTGAGATACATGTGCCTGTCGGGGCGCGCAGATTTTTTTAATCCTTGGTGGCACTGAGGAGAGGGCCACTCGCAAGTCCTGTTCAACAGAAGGCCGTGACCTCCTGTTGTTCTTCATGTAAATCAGAGTAGAGAACGCCAACTCCAGAGATGGGGTCGTTACTAAAAAAATGTAATATATTACATATTACTTTAAAAAAAAAAGTAATATATTACACTACTTCGTTACTATCTACATCAAGTAAATCGTTATTTTACTCATTACTTTACTCGCTGAGCACGTACGAACTGCGCATGCGTGAGTGGCAATAACTTTCCTTACCAGCAGGCGGCGGTAGTGTGTATTTGTCATTCAAAACAGGCAATAACCGGAAGACAGAGAAGAAGAATAGACTATGTGATATAAACAAACAACAAATAGCGTGTGCGTTAGCTTCACCTTAGCATGTGTTCTTTGCAGGTGTGTGTTGAGGTTTGACGTGGTGTTTACAGCAGTGGATAACAGCTTCTGGCCTGGACACAGTTTGTACCTCACCGTCACATTCCTGTCTATTCTTCAGACGAACTCAAAATAATGGGCATACCTCCACCCCTCGAAAGTTATCGCTGACTCAGCCATGTTTATGCAGCACTGCACGTGGAGATGTGGACGCACAAGTCGCGCAGATTACGTAGGCTACATATAAACCTACAAAGTACTGATATAGTAAATTAAAAAATAATTATTTTTGTGTAGTTGTATATTGCAATAATAACGTATGGTTAACTTGTCACAAAATCCCACGGCACACCCGGACTTGCCTCACACCGTTTGGGAACCACTGCACTACACTACCCATAATCCTCAGCTATCGTTTGGGACTACAGTCCCTTTTCTTTACAAATCCCGTGATTAATCTTTAAGCTCTGGGATTGGATGTTGGAGTGGCAGTGTGCCAAGGTTATGCCGAGCGTCAAACAGCACTTTGAAATGGAAAGAAACCACGGCAGACTATCCAAAACTGGACTTGAATATTTGATCAAATATAACATATTGAACAAATAATTCAATAACGTGCTTTAACCACTGGACGGTGAACACACGGTACACACAGCATAGAATGCCATAATAACTTTGTATTATTAGTGTAGGACACTTATGTATGTATAACATCTGAAGATGTGTAGTTTTATTCATGTTTTCACATAATTTTACAGGATATTGCTATATTATTTCACATGTTTTACTTCTACACATTAATAACTGATTTTGTAAAACATCACAGACAGAAAGGTATATCTGTAATTTAATGGTAAGCTATTGAAATTCTGATTCCATAGATGTGTCTCCCATCACACAAAACCCCTGACTATTCTCTCAATTCAGTATTTCAGTAAAATCAGTAATATCTTTAAAAACTACAAGTCCTTTTCCAAAGAGAAAAGCAAGCAAACTCGTACTAAAGTATTTATTTTCTTTTTTTCAAAATGTTTTTCGGATTTCATATCGCATAAACACTATATCCCAACGTGCATTGCGGCTAAACAATCCAATCACCGAGCTTCAACCATAGCTGAGGATCTTGGGTAATCAGTTCAGTGGGTGTGTATCTGTTTCCGGTTATTTTATTTTGAAATTCAGTTCCTGACGGATGCCAAAAACAGCCCGAGATTATAGAATTAAACAAATAAATAAAAACAAGGATAATTGTGTGTTATTGTTGAGTAAATAACAGTGTGTTATTTAGAAAGAATAACAAATTAGAAGGAAAAAAAGATTTGAAAAATACAGATTTCAGTATTCTGAGGCTCTGAGCCCTATTTATTTTCCTCGCGGATGGCAAAAAAAGTCAGACATCATACGATTTAAAATAAAAACAATAATTGTGGCTTGATATTGAGTAAGAACATGTTTTTATGAACCACACAGCTTCCGGTCTTCCACGACCCGACCAGACAAAAAGACGTGGCACGAAACACACCAATAGAAATACATTGCTTTTAAAATCGTTCTGTGTGACAAAAAAAAAAGGGGAAAATCGTGTTGGTGAACACGAATCAATAGATTAAATGTCGTGACTATAACACGAAATGCCGAGAGACTGGGTTGCTTGATAATGTTGATTCTGAAAATCAACACCTATGGTAATAAGGCTTGCTGACCTGCTAGCTTAAAGTTGGCAGTTAACCACCTGGATTTTTGGAGCCCTTTGTTGCATCTAATGGTATCTTCTTCTGTGTCTTTCTCAAAATCCCTTCAATGCGTGAGTTGTTAGCGGCCTGCATATATAGAGTGGACAAGCCGATGCTAAACAGAAAACAAACATTGCATACTGTCCTGTAAAGCCTTTTGACAGGTGGTGAAAAGCCCATCTTGCTCGTGCATGCAGAGGTCTAAAGCCCAGCCTGATTTCTCTGGCTGTGTCTATCGGCGTGTGTTTCTGAGGCAACAATAGGAGGCTTGTCTGTGGCCTGTACACGGCAGAGGACAATGTCAGCTGGCAGGTGTGCGTGGATCAAGCTTTGCATGGGCAGAATCCTTCACTGCCCTTTCTCTATGCTACCTGTCCACCTCAAGCTTCCCACCCTGCCCCCGCCTCCAGCTCGGGAAGTTTTCGGGAGTTTGTGGCCGTCGCCAGTGCGAGCATTGTGTCAGCGTTCTTTTGTGAGGTCAGGATGGGACTCTGGGCTTTGTGTCTAGTGCTCAGCTATTTACAGAATGGCTTTGCATGCGCTCGAGGGGAGCCGAGACAGAGGGAGGAGGTACAGGTGGTCAATGGATCCACCATGGATCGTTAGTCCACAAATACAAGCCAAAATGTAAACAAGGAGAATAGATTTTTTAAAAGGCGACCACTTAATTGTGCTACACACAGAATGTCAACTGTGGCTGTTTGGTTTGGGAGAAAAATTAAGTGGGGAGAGACAGACGGGACAAAGGCTGAGCGCTTTAGAGGAGATTGTGCTTACGTTGTATCTGGGCCCGGGTGTTTGTCGGGATCGCTTCTCCGCCAGCAGGTCCTTGACTGTGTGCTTGACTCGAACGCCTTGGTACACTCTCTTTGAGTATTCTAGACAAAAAGCATACAATTAGTACGAAAATCCACTTTTGAAACAAATCCAGAGACAGTTTGACCTGGAGGTGGTAACAGATTCATACACATTTTCATCCATCCCCACAAATGTGTGTTCATTTGAATGTTTCAGTTGTATTCATGTATGCGAATGACTCTTTGGGATTGGTGTGTAAATGTCATGGAAATTGCCTTTGGTTTGGTGAATGCAAATGAGCTACCAAAAAGAGGCAATTTACTACAAACACTGGCTGATGCTTCACAGTGAAGGAAGACTGGAGGGGGTTAGACGTTTTCAAACAAATAAAGATATTTCATCAGAATATTTTTCTGCATGTTTCAGAAACATTGTTCTTTAAATCTTTAATGTTAGCTGGAGTGATTTCCTGGAGAGCAAAAACTTTAACTCAATGAAAATGCAAACTTTATTATGCAAACGGTTATTGCATGCAAAAAACGTTATGTAAAAGATCCCTGCTTTTTGAATGGATATTTTAGATAAGACCCCACATTGCTCAATGACATTCCAGAAAATATAACATTTCCTTGGGATTAAGTCAAAATACAGTATATCTGTATATCTGTTATTCCATATTCAAATATATCTTACTATGTGAACCTTAATTATAATATCAAATCAATTAGCACATTAAATCCTACACGTGCTTGATTTTAAAAGCATCTTTCAAATATCTGACGGTGATATAAGTGAATTATATGGAGAAATTAATATCTGACGGTATTGTTTATACAAAATTAATATATACATGTAACTGCTTCTGAATCGACTTATTTACTAACTTTAATTTAATAAGCGAACATAATCAAACATGAGCCCAAACACAAATAACATTATCACATTTAAATAGGATTATTTCTTTTTTTTTACTCTACAAAATATTTATTTTTTTAAAAGTAATACTGTTTAAAAGGGAAAACATATTTTTACCAAAGACAAAAACATTTATCACAAAAATAATGACATCAGCTGTCAGCCTGTATATGAATGAGTATCTTACCTGTATCCATGATGCTGTTGAGCTCACACACAAACACACTCACACACTGTCACACACACACAGGTGCCTCTCTGTTCTGTATTTGCCTACAGTAGATGAATCCCAGTGTGCAGCAGCACCATACTGAGTGGCGTGCCGCGGTGGAGCTTTAACTACGCTGTCAGGAGGGCAGGGACACATGGAACATGCCACCTAACACTGCAGTCATGAGGAGGCAGCTTTTCAAAATGACCTTTATCTATTTGTTTAAATGCAAATGTTTGGTAGGGACGTTTTTTAGACTATTTGCATCTGCAGTCAAGATTAGGGGTTGGAAGCATCAGGGGAATGGAAGAGAGACGGGGAAGCTGCGTGTCACTCCTCCCTGAGCCCTTACTCATCATCCAAATTCTAAAGGATATATTGTTTCCACATTGTGATTTTGTTGATGCTGCTGTGGGACGGATTCTGTTTTTGTTTCAGTTTGAGAGTTGGCATCTCTGGAATAAATACAACCTTTACAAAGAAGCTTAAAATGTACCAAAGCATTTATTTTTCTGTTTGTAGGTTTGCATCTCAGGTCAGACAGTTGATAGCACACTGCCTCCTGCCACAAATAAGTAACTTTTCTTTTTGCATAAAAGGACATTAATGTGCAATCTTCGGCTCAAATTGATATGCTGCAATTTGTATGAAATGTAAACTGAAAACAAATAAATCACCTCAACCTTTTGTTTGTAGAAGAGGGGTGAATCACTCAAGGCACGTTCTGCTTAACAGAATGTAGAGAAGTAATTTTACTCAGGTATTCTAGTTAGGAACAACTTTGTAAGGTACTTGTACTTTATTATTTTCATTTCATGCTGCTTTTTCTTTCTGCTACACTACATTTCAGAAGCCAATATTTTAACTTTTTACTCCGCTACATTTATCCGACAGCTTTAGTTACTTTACAAATTCAGACGATTAGCTAATACAAAACATACACCAACTAATGTATAAACATTGAAGTATAATTCTAAGGAGCAGCAATAAACAAAGTAAGTACTTTTGATGCCAGTACTTTACATTCAAATCAAATATTACTACTTTTTACTTAAAGGGGCCCTATAATGTTTTTTGGGGGTTAACCTTCCCTGATGTGCATTGGGTTTAAGTGCATGTAAATGGTCTACAAAGTCTAAAATCCCTGTGCTCCCTCCAGGGGGAGTTTCTCTCCAACTCACTCCCCACCAGCCTGAAACACCTCCATTGGACTCCTTTGTTTACTTCCGTAACATAATGACATCACTATGTAACACTCGCACCTCTATTTGCTATAGTACTCTGTTATAGGCTACGGGGGACATCTCTGAGTATTTGTCCAATCCCACCAAAGCCGGCCAACTAACCAATCAGAGCAGACTGGGCTCTGGTTTCAGACAGAGGGTGAAAAGAGGTGCTGCAGCACAGGCAGTATGAGACAAATAAAGAGCTTGTTTTAACATTAAAGCAAGGAAACATGTCACAGTAGAGGCACACAATATAAATATGACCCAGAAAATGAGCATAAGAGGACCCCGTAACTATAGAAGAGTACTTCTTCCAACACTACTGGTTTATAACAAGGCTTCAATCTGACCTTTTTTTCCCTCTGATTTGGAGTCTAGTGTTTAGTCAAATTGTTTTTGTGATGCAGATATGAAAAAGATTTGTTTCACTTAAACATTCATAACAAATTATCAACATATTAAAATAACATAATTAATGCCTACTTGGATTTGCAAGAAGTTAGTTGTGATACATTAAAAGGCAGATCCAAACACTAATTGCACATCTATTACGATAGCGATACATGCCTAACATACTCTTAATAAATAGCCTTTCACATGTTGTCTTTATGATCTGGGTGTCGTATTGTCATACTGATATTTTGTACAAACTGTAAAGTCCACTGAGACAAATGTAACATTTGTGATATTGGGCTATATAAATAAACATTGATTGATTGATTGATTGATGATCTGAATCACCAAGTTCAGAAACAGTGTGTACAGCAGCTCACTATAAACACAGTATTTCGGCATGAGATGAGAGTTCAGCAATCAGTAAGATATGATTATCTGTGATCACGTACAATACAATAAGAGCACTATAGGAAATATAAAGCTAAAATAATTATATGATTGAACTATAAAAACTTCAGTGGTACATAACAATGAGCTAACATTAATAAAACCCAGCTTATATAAGTTATTTGTATATGATTCAAGAGGCAGAGCAATTAAAGACTTTTTTTTCTCCTGAAGATAAAAGAGTAAAGTACTTTTGTAGAACTTCAGCAACTGTACAAATGTTTAAATCTATGACTATGAATATAGACCCTCCATTTGGTCAGTTGAAGCTTTACTGTGTACAGGAAGTACTAGAGGCATTCAGTGAAATTCTTTTTTTTTAAACTCTTGCATCTAGAATGTACGGAGCCCTGGAGGGTTAATAGAGAGAAAAATAAATAAAACGTGGCCACGTTTTACTTTCTCGTGCGCACGCTTTAGTAACTCGTGCACACAAGTTACTTTCTCGTGCGCACGAGTTACTAAAGCATGCGCACGAGTTACTAAAGCGTGCGCCCCGGTGACAGGACATCTCCTTCATAATGCGAGGGGGAATACTCAGTTCGATGTGTGTATAGGTGTGTGTGGTTAAACGTAGCAGCCTCGATCTCTATTCAGCGGTTCTAGTGAAGTAAACAGTAAAAGGCACAGCTCTTTGCAGCTGGTGCTGCTCTTCTCAGATTCTGCTGAGTTACACGTTACTGCCTCCAGTGCCCTGTACGACGAAGCCAGTTCAACAGACCCTGGACCTGGATATGTTCGATTTACCCGGCTTAACTGACCCTAACAAACGCAATGTCGATAAGCGGTCCTACGAAGCTGGTTATCAACTCAGTAAATCAACCAGGGTTTCTCTGTCCGGCTGAGAGCGCGCTCATGTGAAAGGGACGGGATTAGCAACATTTGACCAATCACAAACATGGAGACGCGTGCTGACAGCGCAGCGTCATACTTCATGAATGAATAGTGTAAATAGCAAATCCTGCTTCGTAGTACAGGCCACTGGTGCCGCAGAGATTTCATAAAGTGAAGGGGGTTTTCCTTCTATAAAACAGCTGTGGGCAGCAGATACTGTGAGTCACGGACAGGAATCCCTCAATTTAAATAAAACGAGGCCACGCTTTATTAACTCGTGCGCACGCTTTAGTAACTCGTGCGCACGCTTTATTAACTCGTGCGCACGCTTTAGTAATTCGTGCGCACGAGTTACTAAAGCGTGCGCACGAGAAAGTAAAACGTGGCCACCTTTTATTAATTTTTCTCTCTATGAACCCTCCAGGGCTCCGTAAGAATGTCATTGTGACACTGTTAAATCGTGCAAATATGTGAAGATTCAAATATGTGAAATTAAAAACAAATTGCTGTATTCTTTTTTTAGGGCATTAAATGGGTAAATTCATTGGAAATGGTGGTATGTAATGAAAAAAACGCTTTGCGGTTGGAAGACTAGTAAAGTGGTCAAAAAGGGGCTATTTACTCAGTTTAATAAAACAAATTTGACAAAGAAAAGAAACTATGCATTATTTTTGCATGGTTTATGTCCTCCTTCAGAATTGAAATGTGAGATCATATTGACAAAAATGATCTGGTGTTCTTTCCCAAACCAGTGTACCTCTCTAAACCAAGTTAGTTCAGGATGACCCTTGGATGATTTTGAGTGGCAGTTGATGGGGGAAATGACGTCACTGAAATGTATACAACATCTACAAATGGCAATTCTTACCATTTGGCCTGTGATTTGCAACTTTTGTTGTCCAAAAGCATGTGTTGGACCACCTAGCACATAATGAGGAAGTACTGCAGTCCACAGAGCAGTGTCTGCCCAACATCTCATAAAGAAGATGTGTACTTTGCTGTTGTAACACTGGATTTCTGATTCTGCAGCATTCAGCAATAGGCCCAATTGGCCCTCAGTTGTGAAGCATCCCCTGGCAGCAACAAGTTTACACCAATTAAACCAACCATGATCTAGGTCTAAAGTTGCACTGTCTGACAGACATACTGTGCTACAAGCTGTAATCTGAATAGCAACACATCCTTACAACACGGTAATATATCGTCCTCCTCAACCAGTATGATCTTCTGCAAAGGGATTATGAAGAAGCTCTATAATTGAGCAGAATATCTGAAGTAAGCATATCAATAGGGATTACCCAAACCTCCCTGATGATCTTCTGCAAGCCTTGACAGCGTGTGAACAAGGGACCTCTAACATCAGCAGCATCACATTTCCCCAGATTTCATTGAGGTGGGACCTAAAGAAGCAGAGCACGACCTCCACATATTTTCTGACGGATGTATGTCCTACCTTTGTGGAAGCACATTGATCAGCCACACAGCGTTTGTCTTTCCGTGGTCAACTGTTGATTCCAGGCTAGAACTATGTACAGCAATGACAGGAGCTCAGCTTGCCCGTTTCCTCTACAAAGAGTTTGTTCTACACATCAGAGGACTACTACCTACACTGAACAAAAATATAAATGCAACACTTTTGGTTTTGCTCCCATTTTTCATGAGATTAACTCAAAGATCTGAAAAAAATTCTATATACACAAAATAGCCATTTCTCTCAAATATTGTTCATCCATCCATCCATCTTCTCCCGCTTATCTGTGGTCGGGTCGCGGGGGTAGCAGTTCCAGCAGAGAGCCCCAAACTTTATTTTCCCTGGCGACATCAACCAGCTCTGACTGGGGGATCCCAAGGCGCTCCCAGGCCAGCGAAGAGATATAATCCCTCCACCTGGTCCTAGGTCTACCCCTTGGTCTCTTCCCAGCTGGACGTGCCTGGAACACCTCCCTAGGGAGGCGCCCAGGTGGCATCCTAACTAGGTGCCCGAACCACCTCAACTGGCTCCTTTCGACGCGAAGGAGGAGCGGCTCAACTCCGAGTCCCTCCCTGATGACCGAACTTCTCACCTTATCCCTAAGGGAGACACCAGCCACCCTGCGGAGAAAACCCATCTCGGCCGCTTGTATCCGCGATCTCGTTCTTTCGGTCATGACCCATCCTTCATGACCATAGGTGAGGGTAGGAACGAAA